TCCGTTCTACTCGAGCGTGTAAACATTTTCAACAAACGAGTGTCGGTTTAATAGTGGGTGTGTTCGGAGCATTCCACCACATAAACTTTCTCCAGCTAGCATGGATACAAAAACTAATGTCCAGATTCAGTTCATGAGAAAGTTCTCACCAAGATGCTCATGTATTGGCCATTGGACTGATATATAAAATATATTGCCACTGGAGCTCCAGTAAGATAAGCCTCAAGAAAAGTGAACACTTTTTACCCAATCTACTGCCTAGATGCGCTACTGTTGACAAGTTTTAGCAACTCTTGGGAGAGCTCGATTTATACCTGTTCATACCGTTTAATGCCATTTAACCGTAGTAAAACTCAATTTAAAGGATGCTACAGGCATATGTACAGATACGGTATAGGAGTCAGTTGTAGATCCCACTAAGAGCGCTCTTTATCTATAAGCTGTCTGTGTACCTGGTCCTTGTAAGTTTGTTCAATTAATAACAAGGTGATGTCAACTTTTTCTATAAAAAGCAAAGAAACAAAGTAAATAAAAAAAGAAAATCAGAAAAGACGGAAATTACGCACAAACCTAAGCTCAAATTACCAGAATTTCTGCATGCAAAATACTTATTAGACTTCATAGTTCTATAGATCTCCAATTAAATTCCATTTGGGTAGAAGCCGTGGGCTGAGTACAAGAGTAGATCTTCAAAGTCTACGTGGAAATAATTGCCTGACTGTAGCGTGTTTACTAGATAGGGAAAATAATTTGATTTATCTTGTATTATTTTGAAAAAAAAGGAAGAAAGACAAAATCACCGCAGCATCACAAGATTGAAATTAAATGAATTAAGGCGGGGAAATGAATTTGAAAAGAAACTAATAGCCTGTCATTTGTCTGAAATGCTATACCGACAAAAACACTCAATTACTTTACTTAAGTACCATTTTTGAATGAGCGTTAATAGGATTTACTGAAGTTTGTATGTTTTAAATTACCCATTCTCCTTTCAAATATCCTGGATGGTTTCGTTTATCTGGAACTGAAGTAGACCAAATTTTTGATCCAATAGTTTAAACCAATTTTACTGCCCATGATCCTATTTCCCTGTGTCTGTAAATGAATATGACGTCAAATGACGCGTTGTGGGAGCTATCTAGATCAAGCTTCTTCCTTGTTTGTATTTTTACATTAAAAATATGCCATCTAATTCACTGTTTTACTTTATTAAACAAAAGTCTGTACTTTAAGCATTGCACTTTCAGAATAGCGCAATCTTTCAAATTATTTGCAATATAAAACATGATAATAATAGTAATAATACGTTCAACTGATTTTTAAAGATCGAAAATAAGGAAAACAGTATTTCCCCTTCCTATAAGGTGGTCATCATACGAGGACTGATAAGGGCTGAAGAAAGAGCGAGCCCTAATGCTTGGCTACATCTGCGAGGAAAGCGTCCAGGCATGGCTTAAGTAAAGGAATTGTCCCTGCCTTTTAATTTTTCAGCATAGATCACCGTGTAAAGTGACGATATCGCCTCGTGATATCAAATTATGCCTTATCTCTCGGTTCTTATCTTTGGAAGGAAAGAGCCAGCGATTTTAAATCTAAAATCGAATGGGAGAGCTCAGTAAGTCGCCGAATCAATTTCCTTTATTTGATATATATTGGATATTGTGCCCCAACGAATATTGTGTTTTTGAATATTGTGTCTTATTTTTAGTGGTCATACATTTTTTTTTTGTATTGTCATTGATTCGGAACCTTTACATTGAGACAGATATAATAAATGATAATTGGACAATGCCGGTAACTTCCCACGTAATTAGTTCAGCTAACTAATAAAACTCTTACCACTTTGCCATCTGATTGATATAGCTACAGCTTAATTCAACAGCATAAATCTGATTGACTTGCTTTATCACTGAACTATAACTAGTTATATGTTATTAGGTATGGTAATGATGGTCCCGAACTAATCTTAAGATAATTTAATTTACTCACCTAAAGTGACGGGTATAGATTTATCCAACGGAATGCGCTGTTTTCTTTCATTACGTGCAGTAAACTTTACAGATAAAGTCACTGTCGGTGATCTCAGGTGTTTTTGATCAGTTTTGAAAGCCTGTTCCCCTTAAGCCACGACGTCTAACACGGTTACACCAACAGTGAGCGGGGTCTTCTTATATCATCCCCAATGCTAAAGGAAATAAAGGTAAAGCCACGGCAAATTGCGTTCAATAGATGCGTATCGCGGATTATACAATAATCAGGAGCGCGAACATTGGATGGATGGGAAGATTAGAACATGTTTAGCAGATAGGCCTTCACGCCTTCTTGGCTCACACTGGCACCACCCCGCACGGGTGCCTCGTTCACACCAAACTATTCAAGTCCGGACTCCATTCGATCTGTGTAACGCCAGTAGTACTGATTTTATTGCAATCAAGCGATGACCGCACAATATCCCTTCATTTACAGAGACGGTTATCCCAATTCAGACAATTGTGTGCTTTATTACTTATCAGACTACTGACATCATTAAGATCGAACCTTGCAAATCCAGGTGTGAACGTAGCTTTGGACGTCAGTTCAAGCATTGTGTCAGCATGGCCAAATAGTTTTTTTTTTTTTGTTACAGCCACGGGGCAAAAGCCTGCGTGTCAGGTGTACAGCAGTTTTAAGTTACCTTTCAGTGAACGGACTAATATAGTAGCACCAGTGCCTTTCTTGCAATGATTTCAATATCTTTTACTTAAAAAAAGGGGGATTTCAGACTTAATTGATTTTTCTTTGCCACGCGAATGAGCGGTTGCAGGTACTTTTACAGGTAACCAATGACAAGTCCTCGGTGGCTGAAAGATAAACTTAACACGGTAAAGGTGTGTGAGAGATTGAATTCATCATCACTAAATTGTTTTTCTCGTTATACAAGTTATAAATGAAAGGTGCCTCTAGGCAAGAAAATACTGACACTAATAATAATCATGTTCAAGCTATAAAGAATTTGAACAATATTTTTTGCGGCCATAAAGAAGTTGGGCATCGGTAATCGTTTAAAGGATTATACTTTGTGGAGAATACGACAGAAGAAAAGGTGTAAAGTATGTGAAGATTTTACGTAATTTTAAGTGAGGGTATGAATAAAATACGAACCAACCGAATGATTTTTTAATGCTAACAGTACTAAAGATTCCTTTCATGACATCCGCTTGCTCATTTGAGTATTACTCAGTACTACAGCGCAGTTTTCAAAAAAAAAAAAAAAAAAAAAAAAAAAATCAGAAGCAATGTTATGTTTTTGATCTTTTGGATATATTGTACTGTCATACAAAAGAAAAGCACCCAACTCAAGTTTAGGGGTTTTGAGATAAAAAAAAAAACAGTTTCTTTATTCATTTTGGATATTAGAGCATGCATGTAGAACTGTAATATCTGAAACCATAGAATTTTCTTCACATATGTTAAGCCTTCTTATTATAATTCTACTGCAATGCCAAAAAATTGAATATAACACATGCTGTTTCCCTTACAAACTTTTTGAAAACTAATGGAAAAATAGATTATCTCTATTAAAGTCATAATAACTCTTCGTTTCGGCCAAAAAATGAATTTTCCTGGAGTAAACAACAATTTTCCCATACTTACCAATGATTAATGAATCCATTTTTACATTCAAAGTTAGTCCCTGGTTTTTTTCTAAAAAGTTTGGTTTTTTGTTAAAATCTCTTAAGAGATTTTAACATAGTATAGCCATCAATGCAGGTCACGTGGTCTAAAGACAAGTTCAAATATCAGAATAATAGCTATAACTGCCGTTTTTGTGGTAAAACAGAATATATTATATTTCTATGAGTTATTCACAATGTTTTAATTGTGAAATATAGATCTCATACGAAGAGTTATTATCCCTTTAAGTTCCATATTCACACGTACCGTACAAACGATTACTGTTGGGTAACTAAAAAAAAATAAATACCAAAGATTAGTAGCCTTCACCTGATTAAAGAAAAAATATTCATCATTATTCGAGTGGTCCAAAGGATGCGTATCAAATATTGTAGATATCGTTCGTATGAAGTATTGTAGATACCGAACTATCTTCAGAGTCAATCAGTATGAACATTTCATTTCTCATAATGTTACAAATGTACCATTTTCCTTAACCTTTACAGCCAATAGTAAGTCTAAGAACCATGATAGAACAATCAAAATCAGGGACCTGCACAGTAAAATATATTTCCAGAATAATCAGTCGGCATTCCAATTGCAGCATCCCCTTTTAAGTCAGTGACTCTGTACCGCGCAGGGTTATTCACCCAAATGTACCACCCCACGGGTTCTGTTGTCTTCCAGGGTAATACACCCCCGGGGATCCCGGTGCCGGGGGGCGGTAAGCGTGTGGAGGCTGAGTCAGGCGCGGCAACACCACCGGTTGCTGCGTGGGCCTGGGGGTATTCGGTGGGCTGGGGCTGTAACCCGTCATTTGCTCCACACTCACACACCGGAGTCCCTGGCTCGTGTAGCTCTGGCAGCAAGTGTCGTCGGGGGAGCGGTCTCGACAGCGGCTGAAGAAAAGGTAAACGGTGGGTAACATTTAGTGTACAGTTGTTAAATACGTAAAGAAGAATGGCAGAATACAATACATAAGTCGAGCTCCCGTTAGTTACTTTTCGTCGTTTTATAGTTGATCATCTTCACACATTTAACAGCAGACAGATTTTAAAATTGTTCATTTTACATTATAGATAAGCAGTAGTTTTTGACACGGGAAAAGGAAAACACAACACCCATGAAGTTCAGTCACTTTTAAATCAAAAGAGAGAGATCGATGCATCTTCGGAATAGTGATTAAACGACCATGGTACTTCATTGTGCAGTCTTGGTCACGCGTTAATTGTTGAGCAAGGCGACTCTAAAGACTGCTGGGGGCGGGGGGAGTCTGACGCATTCAGTTTCAAGAAAAACAGTACAAACTATTATTAGCATGCAAAATCCGAAACCTGACGTTAACTTTAAAAGAACGTAGCATATTTTCTGTGAACTGCACGGAATAAACATGGGAACAATCTTAAGTTAACGTACCTCTTGCAGGCCAGCCGCTGGGTGAAAAGCGGAAGGGCGTCACACCCGCAGCGAAAGTCTGCGTCCTGGTCTGAACATATAAATGTATTGCAAGTCTGTGTCTCACTCATCGGTCCGCTGTAAGATCAAATTAAGATCATTCATAACTGGTAAATAATATGGAAAAATGCGATGGAGAGAGAGAGAGTTAGAAATACTGATTTTCTTTTTTCTTTTTTTTTTGCTAAAAAATCAAAAGAAAATATTCATCAGGTTCACGGAGGTCTGTCTTCCTATACTTTTAACTACAGCACGTATTTCAAGAAAAATATACCTTTTTGTACTTTTTACTGCTAACGACAATTACATGCCCTTCTTGATTGATATTCAGTCGTCTTTCATCCCACATTACTGTAATTGCTTAAGACTGTAAGGCGCTTTGGCCCTCAGCAATCAAGTGGACACTAGATTAACTTCCCCTTATTGCCTGCCCTGGGCTGTTCGACGCAAATCACTAATTCCTGTGGTCATGTTTGTCTGTAAGAGACTAATGTGCTTTTTTGTGCCTTCTCATCCCTAGTGCGAGGAAATCACCAAGGACAAGTTATATCTTGCGCCGTAGTCCGTTCTCTTCCGTAATATCTTTATAGCGATATGAATGTTAACTTTGCATTTGGGGATAAACTCACCATTAGCTTTTTCTGTTCTGCAATTAAGAGCTGACAATTTTGACACGAATTCCAAATTTTTATTTTTAGAGAAAGACGTCTGTTTTTTAGAGAAAAACGATTTTTTTTAGAATTTCCTGTGCTAATATCCAGTATTTCAATACTTTATACACGTATTTTAGTACGTTACAGATGTAGCCCAAAAGATAAAGAAAACTATTATATGTTATTAAGGTTTACACTGTTTGCCTGATTATAACGTACGGACAAATTCCACTTGTACACGTCCTGGTGCGCGAGCGCGTGCCACAAGAGCCGCAAGGGGCGCCACAGTCGCTCCACTCTCCCCAGTCGCTGTAACCAACGGCTGTAAATAGAAAAAGATACCGTGATAATCGAAACATAAAACCAATTAATATATAATTGCATTTTCATATTTAAATTAATCCAATTTATTAGAACAGTGCCACTGTGTTTATTGTCTAGCGTTGATTACAAAGAGATTCGAATCGGCTGTTAGGAAAGGTGAATGTCCTGCAAATGGCTTTGTGTTGCGTCTCCCAGCAAATTGTTATTGTCATCATATTTCACAAAATTATAGAGCGAAAGAAACTGTCAAATCTAAGATATTCCATTCATTTATTGACTTGTAGAAATACTCTTGTGGTGAGAGAGAACTTCACACGCGATAACGAACCTTCTTTATCTACGAATTCGAACACTGCTCTGAATCCGGTTCTTCCCGAAGGGAGTCCTACACTGTCTTCGGGCACCAGAGGGTCTCTATTCAACATCACCAGCATTTCGTTCGTGTCTGATGTCAGGACAACTTCTGGGGTTTTATAGCAGCAAAGTCTAGACGGTGATGAAAAAATGATGGTTATAAGAAAGCAATTTAGCTTCCTTGTGGCTGGATTTAGGAATATCACAATTTTACTTAGAGATGATGTCGACGCGATTAATCTAAGACCTCGTTGGTGAAGATGTCCCATGAGGTGACTGAGCCGTTTTTATTTAGTGAAGGTTTATTTGAGAAAATAATAAACAATTAGTTAGAGTAGTATTTGCTAGGCAGTGGGAGACTGGCGTGACAGCTAGGAATGGTAGTCATAGGAACGGAAGTCCGGGGTCCCATATGATTAGTACATGTTACAGTTAATCGGAGCATTGGGGTCAGTATATGGGACGAATATTTATCAATATTACCTGTACAAAGTAATGGGGAACGGACTGTGGTTCCTAGCGGACTACCATTTCTGACACACCGGGACAGGCATGTGGAACAGAATTTTTTCAGGAAGATAAAAACCGTATGTACTTGTAGAGGGTCCATCAACAACACACGGCTTCCACTTCAATTCTTTAACTCAATTATCTCCAGAAGCATCGTAGCCCTTAATGGCAAGCAATACACGTTTTTTTTCCACTTTACCTCGGTCCAGTGTTTTGGAGATTTTCAGAATGGCGAACTTCAACCCATTCGTAGCAGGTTTTGCTTGTGTTGAGGCATCCTAAACCAAAGGAACCTTCTAATCTAAGTTTCACAACTTTCCCTTCAGGTGCCTGAATATAAATGCAACAGAAGGAATACATAAAAAACTGGCGTAAAACAAATATATTTCCAGTTACAAATAAAAATCATGTATACCTAAATAAAAATCAATATTCATTTCATTATACAAATTGATTAAAAGCAGACATTTTTTTATATATTAAAATATAAGCGTAAGTTCCTACCTTCAGTAACCAAGCACAACCGTTTCCCCTGGAAAACCCCTCTCCACCATACCCAGGGGATTCTATTGAACCCGGTGACGTCACTTCGCCTCCACATATACCTACAGATATATAACATTAATTAACATAGTTTAAAGTTATGGAACTTAACAACTTATAAGGGATGAGTGAATGCAGTAGTTTGAAATTTAAAATATAAATCAATATGCAGCAGTGTGCTCCCAAATACAAAATTTTAAATTATTCTAACATGAAAACACAATAATCACGTTTTTCTGCAGCAGGGCAATGTAGCAGAAGTAAAAGTAGCAGCTACAGGTAGAGAGAGGTTTATTTTGGACGGGGCTGTTACTATATAACTACCAGGCCTATATATTATATTATATTATATTATATTATATTATATTATATTATATTATATTATATTATATTACTATGTAGAAAGGGTCTGTAAACGTTCTACTGTGTTATAAAAACACAGATCTACCAGCAGATGTACCTACCGTCCGTCTTAATGCTGTCACACAAAGTGCCAGTAAAGCCATCAGGACAGACACAGCGCGTGCAGTCGGTGGGGTCGGCATAGCCACCGCGTTGGCATGGCAACTCAGGATTGGGAAAGATGATGAAATCTCGGAAGAGATCGCAGGCAGCTACAACATAAGAAGACAGGCTGAGTTAATTTTTTAAAAATACTAAGTTTTCTGAATCTGTAGATTCTGATTCTGTAGATTCTGAATTTTATCTTGAAATTGCGATATTTCACGTTAAATACCCAAATACAGATAAAGCCTGTCACGGTTACTTGCACAGTAAAGCGCTAGGCCTTTTACACTGTTTTTCGTTATAGCTATGTTCTAAGCGGGTTTACTGAGTGCACCTTCTTTTACGGTGCGTTTGGCCATGACCCAATATTTTGCACGTGGACACTATCAGCTAGTAGCGACCTTTTAGAGGGGACGCGGTAGTTGAGAAAAAGACATGCCAGTTTTCAAATCGCTCATGGGTGTGATAAAACACAATTGGAACACCTGCTACAATCGCGCTTTAGGTACTTAAAACTTGACTGTCTTATGTTTGGTATTCAAATACGGCGATGAGACGATTGAAAGTTACTCCAACACTTTTCCGTAAAATTTATTTTCATATTATGTGTTAAGAGAATCGATAAGTATTTCGAACTTATTGTCATCATCAACAACATATATCAAAGTTATTAAGTCTATGGGTTATGACCAAGAGTTTTCTCTCTTTTAAGTTCTCAATCTTTTGAGCATCAGTTTAAACGCTTTGAAAAGTTCCAAGGTTTTGTTTATGCTTGACTTTTACACGACCATCAAAATTAAATTATAAGAATTATAAAAAAACACACTTGAAAAATATTATATTTTCTATAAAAATTAGAAAAAAAAGAACTCACTGCTGCAGAACTCTATGTTAGCTTGCCTCCGGTCGTACCAGGTAGGGCCAGTGAAGAGGGCGCTCCCCATGGCTCCTTGAAGGAGCGGGTTTCTGGTTAGAATTGTGGGCTTGTCGTTAGTTGATAGAAACTAAAATTTGAAGTAATTTTTATTAATATTCTGATGTCATTTATTCTGTGGAGCAATTAAAGTTATAATTAAAGCTTTTCAACTTATTTACGTAATTTGAAAGCTCACAGGTAAAATAGCTTTCAAATCATATGTGGTAATTGAAATTTATTGTGTCTGAAAGTTCTGCTTGAGAAAGTTTACATCATATATATAGAATACGCTGATGAATACACTACATAGTGACAATTTGCCGTAAGGCATCATATAACACAATGAGACAAATGCCCCTCCCCCTTTATTGTGGGTGACTTTTCCACCCCACGTGCCCTTATTTTTAATCGTTAGGGCAAAAATTGAGATGCACCTCGTCCCCATGTCAAATCAGTATTATCTACGGTTATTTACCTCTAAGGTCGCGTTTATTTCGAAACGCATATAGACCAGATTTCATAGCGAAGACATTTTAATTGAGCAATACCTATGCCAAAACCAGAGGAGACCTCTGATCGGTGGGCCTGAATAACCGTTGACACGGATAACTTTGACTTTAAAAAACAGCTTTCTAAGAACTGACTAAATGTAGTCAGAGAGATGAGACCACATACCAAAGATGTCGCAGACAATATAGACCCAATATCATAGGGGACACCATACGTCACTGCCACCTCCCCGCCCACTTTATCCAAGAGGAGCTCATCCACTAGCTGCGGGTCAGCATTGTGTGGTAAGAGTTGAATATATTCGTCCCTGTCCTCTCTGTTATTGAGTGGGTAGAATCCTAGAGCAAGACCGATGACTTGTGACATGTAACCCGGCTGTAAAGTGCACGAAGAGAAAAAGTCAATGATGGCGTTGATAGATTTAACGCCAAAAATAATAATTTATTTTTCTATGGCGCATTCCATTAAAAATCTCAATGCGCCATACAACATTCACTTAAAAGAGCTAAATATCACAATACTAGTGTAAGAACACATTACAATTTTAAAGGACTAAGTACTAATTTAAAGAACCAATTATTTCATATTCTAAAATGATAAGAAGCTAAAGTGACAACATTTAAAATTAATCATAAAATTACAGTACACCTTGTTAAAAACTAAAAATTAACTATATGATAGTTACTGATAGGCTATTCTAAAAATATGAGTCTTCAAAAGCTTTTTGAAAGTATCTATGTCACCTGCTGCTCGTATTTCAGAGGGTAAGGTGTTCCATACTTTGGGTGCATATATCATAAACGCCCTTTCACCGTAAAATTAAAATATAATTAAAATATAATCTAGATATGCAATATTACATTGAAACTCAACGGAATAACAACTCTTCAGTATGGGAAAATCATCGTCTACCCTAGAAAAATCCGTTTCATGGCACTTTCCCCGCAAAAGTGAAGAGTTGTCATCCCTGCAATCAACAGTTTATCGGTTGGATAATTTTACATGTAAATCATCATTATTTTAGCATGTAAGGGTATCCTAAACGTAATGTACACACGAATGATATAATTTTACATATATGACTGTTTTTCTGGATGCATTTTTAATGCGGCACACAATAAATGGATGGCCATGAAAAAAAAAACGTACTCACCAAGGGGCAATCTAAGAAAATGGGTTGAGGAGATCCATCGGTGATCCGTCCAATCAAGGACCCGCACAGATCCCTAAAATAAGTTTATCAATTTATTAACTCTGGGGAAATGGTGTAAATAAAGGTCAAGAGGAATAATGTTACTTTTGCTTGAAGAAAAAAGGTTAATAGTTGCGGATTTGACGATTGAAATACAAACTTTAAAAACGTGTGAAAAATACTAAAGCTTTTTCGAGGAAAATGTTCTTCTAAAATCTTCTGAAAAAAGATCAATATTAAATAATAAAAGATGCCAAAGTAACAGAAATTCTTACTGATATCCGTAGATTTCGAGGAAGTCTCCAGTTGCGTTGAGGTTTTCTTCGAACCGAAGACACGTGCCCTGTTCCCATAGATCCAGTGCCAAACGTATCATAGCAAGTTTGGACGGTGCTAAAAATTTAAATTTAGGTATATGGCAACTAATTATCCCTACATGCTTTACAAAACGCTAAGTCTTCAGTTATTTATGAGTGTGTCCCGGGGTAAGGCAAGTAGCCAGATTTTAGCATAACCTTGCAGCGACAATTTCAAGGAAAATTTACCCGAAGCTCCCTGATACGGAAATTATGTAGCCGTAGAATTTATTATTTACAAGCACATACAGGACAGATGGACAGCCCATTAAAACATTCATATTTAAATATTTCGTGTAACCATATTTGACCAGAGACATTAAACGAGAAAAGAAAATGACCACCAATTTGTCCAGAATATCTTCAGAAAAGACGAAGTTAAACTAAAATAGTTTTATAGAATCTAAAGAACGTTATTTGTCCATCTGTAATGGTGACCGTTTCTTTCTTACATTCAATGAATATTATTTAAAAAAACTTGGCGTATTTAATGTAATAAAATACTCCGAGTTCAATTTATTTTTATTCATAAATTATAACTTACGAATTTGATCCGCATCTCGAAGCACATAGTAAATTGGCTTCGTGGCGTCCCATTTCCTTGTAGACCCACTAATAATTTGTCTTTTCTGTCGTCCGAAACGTCCTCTGGCATTCTTCAATGTTTCTTTCATGTGGGACATGAACAAATTTTCCTATGAAGAAATAAAAATTGAACTGATAATAGAAGATGCTCGTGAATACTTAATATAAAACAACCAGTAAATCATGCTGTCTTAATCGACATGGCGCCATTGCCACCCAATGGCAGGCAGATAATTCCTGCAGATAATACAACGAATTCGAAAACGGTCTCCTTGAACTTCGCCAGAATTTAAATATGCGTGAAGACATAAATGAAATGAGACTGTTTAAAGATCGTATTACGACAAAACGTCTATATAATGCCCCTTGACAGTAAAGAATATCAGGCCATTACTAAAATAGAAATAAAGAAAATAATGTGCGTAAACATTCAGACGTTTGGATATATTTGCTGTTTTACAAAATCTTAGTTTTATGCCATAAGCTTGGGTTATGTAATAAGGCTATGGTTATGCAAATAATTGAGTTGAGATGTGATCTTGTATATTAATTTTAAAAAAAGAATCAATGAAATGGATTTTAGAGAAATGAAAATACTACCTTTGCAACGCCATCTACTGACGAATCCATTTCTGTGTCACTCATTGCACATAGATAATCCGGAAGTGTCATGGAAGTCTGAAATTTATCAAAATTCGTAAAATTAATCATTATTGCCACCTAGCCACCCCCTTTACATTGGGTATACTACATCTTGCCTGCTGTAGGTTGTAATTTAAAGACAGGAGTTTTACAGAAAATATGATGGCAGGCCTCACGTATGTAATATTCGTAAAAAAAACTCTTTCCGGTGAAAAATTTGCCTTAGTTTTGTGGGATAAAGAAACACGGTGCTCGAACTGAAAATAATCATACAGTGGGCCTAGGTACAAATATTTACAGATTGGAAATCTAACTATTCTAAGAATTAGTCACGTTTCTGTGAATAGTTACATGCAGTGAACTATATATATTTGTTAGTATTGCTAGTAATTTTATTTCCAATATCAGTGCCGCGATCACCTTAAAAGTGAAAACTGTAATCAAGTGGCCAAAGTGAAGTGAGGAACGCGCTTAGACTGGATGTGAAATGCAGGGAGAGAAAATTCTCTTACGCCTTTTAAAAGCCCAAAAAAGTTGCAGGCCCAATTCTAACTTAATCTGTTTTATTGGCGGGTAGGGTTTTTTATTTCAGGTGAAGATAAATTACTCCCCAAACTGCCTGCGCTGTGTTGGTAACTTCTCTCCTTTACAATTTTTTTATGCAGTTTATTTTCTTTAAACATGACACAATTACATATATATATTTTTTAAACACGAAAAATAATGGGACGTTCGGTGTACTACATTTATAACACTTGCAAGGACCGCTACTTGTCCTGTATAACATATGAAAGTGTCGTGGTAACATGGAATACGTTATCAGTAAAACACAAGAGAAACAACAACAATGATAAAAAGATAAATGAGAACTAAATATAACAAATATATCAAACCTGTGAAAAGACGGAGATACAAAGAAACGCTACTAGTCCAATGTGTTGGCCTGTCATCTTGCACAGGTCGCGGCTGGGAAGATATTCGGACAGCGTAGGACACCGCGTGGCAGCGAACTGGACGATAAACTCGAACTGCAGTTTTGGCCAGTAAGTACAGATATGATCTCACCCTCACGGCCGAGTGGACAACAGAAGGAAATCGATGACCAACGCAACAAAAGACCCCTTCGAAAGATTTATTGAGGTGTGTGTTTGAGACAGAGAAATATGTATGGCTTACGGCCTATTTGCACCATGTTCGCGACCCGACAGAAAACGAGCGACTTTTCACTTATGATTGAACTAATTACGTTGTACATCGCCACTATAAGAAGGATTTTTCTCTAACATTTCGGTGACATTGCTATTAACCATGAGCTACTTGTGACCTTTTATTTTTCAGCGAATTAAACAATACATAACACCCGCCTTTGAATCCACGGCGCATGTGCATACGAATGCCTTAAACGGAAAAGGGGAATTTTTTGCGAGGTTTTTACTAAGAAAAGGATAATTACTGGGTCAAAAAGATAACGAATTATATGAAGT